ATCTCCGGCACGATGATTATGATGGTGTAGTAATAATCGCTTAATCATGATCGTCCTTTTTATTTTTTATTATTTAGCAATTGTATGCAGCCTACCAAGACTCCAAAGCTCACGATATGAGATTAACTTGCAAGTTAGAAGTTCGGCCTCTCAGGAGACATCCTACTCCAATTTATTAACCCAAATTCCTGATAACTCACTCGAAAAAGCTTACGGAGTGATTGAAAGCAAGTTGAATGAAGTTTCTCAGTATGTGAACATTTGGTTCCAATTTCAGTCACTGTGGGATCTTGAGGCCAACCACGTATATTCCTTACTTGGTGATGACCTTGCCAAATGGAAGCAGATTCTCGCAGAGATCAAGAAATCTCGTTCTACATTCGATACCTCAGACACCTCGCGTTCATTTGGTCCCATTGAGGTTTACTCATGTGAACTTCTGAGATGGAAAACGACATCCACATACCTGTTTCAAAAATTCTTCGAGAGCCATTTCACCGGAGGCTTGTGCCACCACGTCTTTTATAATCTGCTCATTTTTTTTGAGATCAAAATCCCAAACATGACCAATCGTCATTTCTGAAAACAGGAAATTAGTACGAGGAAGAACTTTGAATAGTTGTTTCCAGTGACGTTCCTTTAATGCCTCGGATTTGAGCTCGGCAAGGATTGGATTGATTTTGATGTATTGTTTTATGGTATCCTGAACATATTCGAAAGCAGCATAAGATCGCATTCGAGTTGGCATCTCCTTAGTGGTGGTGAGAAGGGCGTCCAATTGTTGCCTAATTTTACGCGGCACCACTGAAGACCATAAGGCTTCTTTTATTTTATCAATGGACTTCCATACATCGAAGAGTGCATTCCAGACTGACTGGAGATCTTCGAGTTCTTCGCGGACAGGTTCTAGACGGGCCTCAGAGGTCGATGCCATGTTAAGAGCTTCTTTAGCACGACAGACGGTATCGTATTTCTCCTTGAGTTTCAAATCATCACCCTGTTCAAAGAAGTACGCGGCCCTTAAACTCATTAAGAATTTCTATCGCATCAGCAGGTTTAGTGCTGCCTTGAATAGGCTTCTTAAGATCCCACTCGGTAACAATTATTTGAATATCTTTTTCCACATTTGCATCTTCTTCGACAATCTTCTTTTGTAAGTCGGCTATAAGATTACATAAAATGTTGTGTCTAGAATATACACGCATTCAGATAATTCAA